TAAGCCAAAAAAAATTTCTATTTATTTAAATTAAATGCTATTTATTTTTAAGGGCCAAAAATGATACATTTCTTGATTGGAAGTCCAGCGCTGCCTGGAAAAACTGCGGCGAGTGTTCCCTCCATAAGGCACATGTTCTTAAAATAATACATCTGCCAGATTTCAATCATTGTGACAGCTCGGAAGAAGCGCAAGTTCGTAAAATCCAAAAATAACAAAAAATCGACACACACAGCGACCTTGTGCATATCCTATTTGAAAAATGTGTCCACACACGTCCCTGTTTTCTAAGTAATTAAAATAATGATGTTTTTGTGTTGATAGATTTCTTCAAACATGTCTAAATTTATCAAGTTTATCAGAAGATTGTTCCCACTTTTCATTTCACCACAAAGCACTGGCTCGAATTTCATGGCAATGTGTAATCGCTCTTTTTGAAATTTGTCTCGAGTAAAATAATTTAAAAGTGATTAAGGGGTCCCAAAAATCATTTTGCAAACAATCCTTCCGCTTTCATTAGCTGATGATGTGCTCGAAAAATATTCAATAATTGGTTTCAAATTGCTTTTCAGGTACTTTCTGCACAGGAATCCCACATTGATTTCGAGGTGTCGGATTATCGAATTTTCGCCCCAAGTTTAAAAAAGCAATAACTCATCAGATCAGTCACTTTTTCGCTCAAATAGAACGGAATTTACAATTCCCATCTGTTGTTTCGCTCTAACTCGCATCTTTCCTATCTAAACAAAGAAGAACCGACAGCTTTTGAGAGGTCTCCATTCAGGGACCCGCTTTTTATGACGATTTTTTGCGGTGTGTAAAACGTTTAGTAGACTACTTATTAGGGTGATCCTTTAAAGTCATTTTTTACAGCCGCTTCCCACGTTAAAATGCGGCAAGTGTACCACTTTTAGATTTCACTACGGAAGCAAACGCAATAAAAAACCCAAAGGTGTTTTTTGTGTGATACCTGTCGTGCGATTTAGATAAATAGGGGTGCTAACTGTCAGGTGAATTATTTTGTATAGAAAATTAATGCATTTTTTACTTTTGGGATAAAAATGGCGTACTTTTGCACCGAAAATTCCTGAAAGAGTGTCAAAACACGTCTTGATCCACCCCCGATTTTCTCTTTTGCATAGGGACAGATGTTGGAGTGTAGGGTTACTTTTACCTTGAATGGTATTTTAGAAGGGTCAGTCACCCTTTTGTGAAAAGGGTAATATGTTTTTTCTAAGGTCCGGTTACTCGGTTTTGTTAGGTAGAAATGTTATTGTCTTTTTTGCACACTGCTTCGGAACATTTGGCTGTCACTTTACATCACAAATAACAAAAAATAGGAAAGTTTTGCTTTGTCGGGGCGAAAATTTTAAAACTCCCAATAAAATTCCACTACAAAAAATTAAAGGGTTGGTATTTATTTACCCAAAGATAAAAACTTGAATTTTAGTCGCTCTGTGTCTTATTTAGTAAATATTTTGGAGATTATTAGCTTCCTAAGAAGTCTAAAACACATTGTGGATAATTAGTGGCATTATGTGTTAAATAGAAAGTGGTAACTAAGAAGAAAACATTTTTAATTTTTATTGCATTCTAATTGCTTTTCAGAAATTGAAAATGCATTATTTAGAGATAACAAAAATACAAATAAAAATATTTTGCAATGTGAAGTTTCTCAGAATTATGACATTTTTTAACAAATAACAAAATTTGTAATATTTATTTATCTCATGAGTGGCAGTAAAAGTCACAATTGATAGTGTTACGAGAACATTATTAAATATTTATTAACCTAGTTTTTACAAGATTTTTTTAAACATATCCTTGGACACAAGAAATGTTATCGAAGATTTTTATAAGACATGTTGGTCAATAATAATTACTGTATTTAAAATGTAACAAAATTTTTTTTAGAACAAAAAATATTTAATATGAAAATCGTTTATATATTCAGAAGATAAAGTTATAAACAAATTATTTTATCGGCACGTGTAAGTTGTTGATTCTAATTCCAATAATATAAATTATAAGTATCTAAAATAGATAAAAAGACATCTTTTTTAACCGATTAACAAATGCAAATAAAAAKTAAAGAAATATTAATCCGATAAATTTTTGCTGTTTAATGCAAATTGAAATAGTAAAAAATAATTTGATTAAAAATAATGAGATAGGGTAGTGATAAAAAATATTGTATTTAACCCAAAATATTGCAAAACCTACATTAGTTGATATAAATAAATCCAATTTTATGTAATTTAATCCTATTTTTTAATGCCAAAAGTTCGATTATAATCTCAAAAATTGTACTGATATGTCTAACTTTTTATACTTTCGAGACAAAGTTCACGCGTGCATCGTTTATTTTTTGTCATTATAAGGTCAAACTTGTTTAAATCGTGTCGCTACATTGAAATAATGCAATTTGTGTTATCACAGAAATATTTTTGAATTTACTTAAATTGAGATAACTGAAGAGCTGGTTATGTACTGATACTGAAAGATACTGTAAAGATACTGAAATAAAACTTGGATTAAAAAGTGAGAACAATTAAATTTTAGTTCTATAGTGTGATGTTCGGTTTTTGCACGTTTTTTTAGTTGTATCGTGTCGGAAGAGAGACCATGAAATTGCACCAATTCATCATTTTGATTAGTTGACATCTTATTAAATCTCATTAAACTTGAATTAAATGATGAGTTGGTTTCGTTGTGACGATAAAAAGTGAAAAGGTCTTGTGTGTTTTCGGTCGTCGAAAATGCATCGATATCACGAAATTTTGTTTAAACTGGTTTATCGACATCCTCATCCCCAAGATTACGGTATCTTTTGCTATTTACCCGAGAAAACCAAAGTGCATCCATAGAAAAAATAAAACTGTTATTTTTAGATATAACATATTTATTCAGTGCATTTATTGTTTGTATGTTTAGTAAATTTTCTAGGGACCCATTGCACTGTTTGCCCATTAATCGATAAATTTTCGAAACCAAACATCTAAAAACAACGTCCTTTTCCAATAACATCCCCCGATCTGTGCAAAAATACTTTCCTCTCGATGACTGTGCTGTTTTTTTCATGAAAAACAACAAAATAGCAAAGGGTAGCGTTTGAGGGTGGCTTTAGTGGCGTGCAGGGGTGGCCAATAGCAAATCGGCGAGGGTGAAATTGTAAGGGGGTGAACGGAGACCAGAGAAAAAATAACAAAGAGCGAGTCGGACTTGAATGGTCGCTGGTCTGAAATATGAATTTCGCGAAAATTAGAAAATTCAGACTTACATAAGCTGCTCTAATAAAACTTCCTCAACAACACAATGTTTTTTCTCTTCAGAGATAAGAATTACAACCTTGACCTTTTTACTTTGGTCTAATAATTACTGTTTTAAAAGAGTTTTTTATTGCGTTTCCGTTTAAATAAATATTTTTCTTAATTTGATTTATTTAGGAAACAAGTCAAAGTGTTATTATTATTTTTATAAAATGCGTGTAAAACTTGATTGATGTTACTTCTTGAGATATCGATTGAGCAACCGTTCCAACGAAATTTTCTCCATAAACTGAACCCAACCATCAGCCATGATCTATATATCTTTTAACTGTTTTATTCTATTTATTATTTTGGAATATTTTATGTCTTTTTACTAAATCTATTTACGCAACGGCTATTTTCAGGCCATTTATTGTACGTCATAGCTTTTTCCATGCAGTATTTTATCATTTTTATTTTTCACACAATTAAACCGAAATTCCTCTCTTCCACCCAAACTTTTCTAATTTTAAAAAGCAATTATCACAATAATCGAAAACTGCTTAAATGGTCATAACAAAGATTTCTCTCAAATGTTTTGAATTCGTTTTTGTTGGTTGGGGCTCGGTGGTGGGGGTAAGGGGTGGCTCATATGCTTGTTCCATATATTCATACAAACCACTGATAAAATCACATTCAGTCTTTGACATCCATAAAAGACACTTCAAACTTGACCAAAAACAGTTTTGTGCATGTTTTCCAACAGTGTGCAAAAATTCCAAAGACTCGGTAAGTTGACAAATCTGCATGTCTAAATTTTATTGCGTTTTTGCAAAAGTAAAAGAGTAAAGCTCCATAAACATGTAAATGCGAGTTCAATCCTTGGAAGTAGCATTGTTAGGGAAATTTTTGAATCATACCGTGGAGTCGCCGCAGGTAAAAGTTGGCTCTGGGAAGAAAGGGTTCCAAGAAACATTGTAGAAAGCCAATAAACAACCCTTGACCATCCAGTCTCCAACTAAGTTTTATTTTACAAACAGACTAATCTGCCATAAAAGCAAAATTTGCAGTGGCTTCCAAGATTACCTGACATAAATACAATCGAAAATTTTTGCAATGTTTCACTAAATTAACAAAATGTATGTTTCAAGCATTTTTTTATTTGTGATACTATGAGTGATAAAGGTAACTTTTTTATACAAAATTATAGTACAACAGAAGATTTTCTTTAAATATCAGTCAATTGTTTATAGTTGGCAACCGGTTTAAAGCCCAATTTTTAAAAACACAGTTTGAACATTCAAAAGATAAAAAGTTAATGTAATAAAATTCTGTTTTGAGTACGAAAAACTATAAAATTGGAAAAAAAATCCAAGAAACATTTTTAGTGTGAACAAAAAATCAAAACATTTCTTTGGTGTCTGTGAGCCTTTTCTGTTTACGAAGGCTGTCATATTGATTTGTCGTAATAGGAAATGGATAATCTGGCGTTAATATCTTGGTTGTAATGTTAATATCCAGCTAATATTTTTTAACTATTTTTAATATAGTTTTTATTGCTTTTCTTTATGATTCTTTGGCAAAAATAACGATTACTTTTTTAATCTAATATAAAGCTTTATTATGGCGAGTATCGTAAATCGCGGAGCTTTTGAAAGCGCCCGTTGGAGGGGATGTCTGTATTGGAGGGGTGAAGTCAAACTGTTTGGGGTGGGAGGAACTGGACATGGCTATCTGTGATTTGGCATGGTCCGAAACTTATTTTTCATTCGTCTTCGAGCGGGGACGTCGTGATGTAGTAGCTCCTAAATTTTATTCATTATAGTGTCTGTATTTTTCGAGTGTTTTTTAAAAATTCTTTGAGGTAGACTTTTTTCGCACTTTTTTCTCCGTGATTTTTATTTGTGTTTTTGTTGCAGTGTATGTGAAATGATAGATAAAGACATGAATTCGGCTTGCATGAGGGGTGGCTCAATCCGCACATTGAATAATTATCAACAAATGTTGGAACCGCGATCTCCACACACTGCTTGGCAATTCGGCGTATCACAAATCGTGGTAAGTTTTCCAAATGTGCGTTTCTAACATTGTCTATCTCCGTTGTGTCATTGATATGAATTTAGGTTGTAAACAAAACATGTTTTTATTACTACAGTTGGCTATTTTTAAGTCAGAGCTAAACCACGCTCACGCGATTAATGAAACGCGTTGTTTCCAGAAACGCGAACCAATGGACGAAGATAAGAACGATTCCGGGGTTACTTCCGGAAGTGACTTCCACTCGTCTTCCCCCAGCAGTGATACCAGTCAGGATTTACAACATTCTTATCAATCGCCCCAAACTCAGCCGACTCGGTTTTACTCCACTCCGATTGTGCCCCATTTCGCGTACAATCACAACCCTTTGACACCCCCAAACTCCGAACCACTAGTCTCCCCCAAGAGCGAGAAGGAGGAGAAGGACATGGAGACGACTCTGACGCCTTGTGCTTCTCCGAGTCGCAAACCGGAGGAAAACCAGGATCATCTCCGCCGTCTGGAGATGTCCCTGGAGAAGAGTGGCTTGTTTTCGTCCAAAACGAGCGAACACTCTGTGGATGAGTTATCAGGGAAAAGTGATAACGATGCTGAAGAGTACGACGAGCAAAGTTTGAGAGTCCCCAAAGTTAACTCACACGGAAAAATCAAGACTTTTAAATGCAAACAATGCGATTTTGTCGCAATCACAAAACTCGAACAGTGGAACCACAGCAAAGTCCATATTCGAGAAGACAAACGATTGACTTGCCCCAAGTGCCCGTTCATCACCGAATACAAGCACCATTTGGAGTACCACCTGCGGAACCATGCGGGTTCCAAGCCGTTCCAATGCAACAAATGTGATTACACTTGTGTGAACAAATCAATGTTAAATTCACACATGAAATCGCACTCGAATGTTTACCGCTATAGTTGTCGAGACTGCAGCTACGCTACCAAATATTGTCACTCTTTGAAGATCCACCTTCGGAGATATGGACACACCCCTAATGTGGTTTTGGACGAGGAAGGTAACCCTTGCCCCGACATCATCATCGACGTCCATGGGACTCGCCGAGGCCCTAAAATCAAAACACAACCCAAAGCAGAGGAGTCCAAACCGGAAACGCTTCCGTTCCTCAACCTACAACAACAACTCCCGTTTCCGGGATACCCCTTCTTCGGGGGATTCCCCAACGCCCAATTGTTACAACAGTTGATCCGGGAGCGACAATTGGCTTCTGGAGGTCCCCCGGAAGAGTCCAGAGTTCTGGATTTGAGCAAACCGGGATGTAGTTATGGCGGAGAACAGAAGAGTAGACGCAAAGGGCCGGCGTTTAAGGTCGATCCGGCACAAGTTGAGTCGGAGGAGGAGGACGAGGAAACCTCGACGACGGTGTTTAGTAACGTGGAGGTGGTCCAAGAAGAGGCCAAGAAGGAGGAGTCCGAAGTCGCTGATAGTAATAATAATAAAGAAGAGGGTAATAATTGCCAATATTGTAATATCGCGTTCGGAGATGCCGTTTTGTATACTATCCATATGGGTTATCATGGGTTCCACAATCCGTTCACTTGTAACATGTGTGGAGTGGAATGCTCGGACAAGGTCTCGTTCTTTTTGCATATTGCACGTGTTTCTCATTCGTAAATTAAGACTGATTAGAATTAATTAGAATTAGTTTTGTGTTTTTTTTTATTTAACTAGTCATACGGGGCCGCAAGCCCGACTTCTCAAATCTAGTTATTTTACGCTTTTACGTGCAATTTATTTTTGTTAATCACAAACTGGAGATGTACGGGTAGGAACTCCACAGCTGAACCAAATATTTTTTTTTACCGAATTAGGTCAATTTTTAATTTATTTTTGTCTGTAACGTTTTGTCGTAGTGGTTTAGTAAATAGGCGATTTCAAGTTTTATTGTCATATTTTTATACTTGTGGGGCCATGACATAAGACTGATGATTGTATTTGTAAATAAGTTTCAATGTTTTCTATAGCTCGAGCAACAATCAAAGATTATTGTAACATAGTTGTGTGTATTATACTATTGTTTAAACCAAATAATAAACAGTAGCAGAGCAATCCTATTTTTATTTCCCCCATTTCGAATCGTTTCAAGTCATAAGCGTCTAATTATAGACGTGTTCTTGTATCGTTAATGTCTCTTTAACTTATCATTTACACGAAAAAAGATGTAAACGATAAAAACAGACCTCCCAACATTTTTTTCTCTATTTAAAACATTTTTATTATTTCTTTACACAAATTAGCCACGAATTTGGGTGATTTATAAATAAACACAAATAACATATAAAATTTCCACGCCTCCACAACTCGCTAGAATAAATCTGATCTTCTATAATAATACACGAATTGCGACAATCGAATTTTCTGTTTTGTAACAGCTCTGCAATTTAAAAAACAGTTAATATTTCCTCCAAATGTCAAAAAAGATTCTTACCACTCCATAGATACATATAAAAGGTGAATATAAATTATAGAACCGAGCGGTTTTTTTAATAATTTGCCTCCAGAAAATAATAATTAATAACATAATAATAATTAAATAATAATTAATATAAATTAAAGTAATATAAAAAATGTGATCGTATTTTGAAAACGAAATTTGGTTTGTTTTTGAGTTATGAAATTTTTTTTGTCAAAATTGCGTTTTATGTGATTTTTTTTAATTAATGTTTTTTTAATTAAATATAAAGTAGATAGTTGTAATCCTTAGATCATAATTTTCATGAAAAAAACGGTTTTATAGTGGGTTACAATTTTAAAAAATATAAAATTTTGTAGAACTCAAAAACAAAAGAAAATTTCGAAAAATTTTATTCTTGATATAACATCACATTTTTATATCGAGCGATCAAGATAATTTGTAATCGAGTCATCTTTGAATGCGAAAACGTATGTCTGAAACGTCAAATAAAATGATAAGGCGGCAAAATGGGGTGGAATTAGTCGCTGGCGTATACTAATAGAACAGTTAACGGTTTTGTTTTGGTTGTTTTTTTTGAAGGTTAATCATAAATTTAGTTACAAAATCATCATTTTTTTATCATACCATTTTATTTTTTGACTTGTCATTTATTTGAAGTTTCACAGACATACGTTTTCGGATTCAAAGATGACTCGATTAAAAGTTATCTTGATAGCTCGATTGTACTTTATCATACTTTTTGTTCATCTGGTATATCATAGTTATTTTCAAATTTTATCCAAAAGTTTTTGGAAAAAAATCACTGCTTTTTCAAAAACTGTTTTGAAACAAAATGAATTTTGCGAGTCAAATTTCCAAATATACAGGGTGTTTAGAACTTGCGTCCCAGAGAAAAATGCCAAGTAAGATACCAAAAACAAAAGGAAAATGTTCAAAAACTCTATTTGTCAAAAAATCATGACATCCATTTTTTGAGATTTGACCTATTTATGTCTATTTATTGTGACCAATAATATTGTGTATGTTTTTCATAATTATTATAAAAACATGTTCATTAAAATCAACAAATAACGTTAGTTACAATTCAGGATACAATTTCTTCAAATAACATGTAGCCAAAAAAAAACAAGTAATAGTTATTTGTATTACAAGGGAGGAAAATACATCTTTTCTTTTCACAAGTGAAAGTTACTGCCCAAGACTTGTCGAACCACCCACTCCAGTGTAATACATACAATTTTTCCTACGATCCAACAATAAAAACTTCAAAACATCAAAACTAACAATTTCTCTTGATATTTCACTTTCGCCATTAAATTAGCAGCATGTTTTCCCGTTTCTATATGAGGGAGGTAAAATTTTTACTTCTCTGAAAGACTACAAGGTAAATAAAAAGTATGGAAGGAACCAAGCGATTTTTTCAAAATACTATAATAATTAATAAAAATTAAAGTGCGAAAATACTTGATAAAAATTGAATTAAATGTAGATAATAATATAAGAGCCTTTGTTAAAAAAAAAGATTAATATTGGGTTACCATTTAAAAAAATTAAAAATTTTGCAGAACTCAAAAACAAGAAAATTTCGAAAAAAATTATTTCTGATAACATTTTTATAGTAGGTACTTTATCATTTATTTAAGCAAAAAACGTTTGATTCCATACTTTTTATTCACCCTGTATACATATTTTTATTGTAATCTTGACAGATAAGAGGTAAAATATTCTATAATTTCAAAATTCTTATAGATGGAATTTTTTAACATCTTACAGATTTTTTAATTGTCATTTTTCTCTGAGGTGCGAGTTCTGAAACATTATTTATTCATTTACACAAAAAGCTGTGTGGTAAAACACAATCTTAAACCAAATTTTATAATACTCTCGATAAAATTAAAAAATCCTTATTTATAATTGAATCATCTTTAAAATGTTTAGAATAAAATAAAAAATCAATTAAAAGCTCATTCCCTCCAGACAATAATCCCGCCCATTCCGATCAGATATCCAGCGCCAAGTTTGTAGATCGACCCCGCTTTAATTTACTTAGTCGAAAAAAAACCCATTGTAAAGAACCACTCGAAAACTGAGGGGCGGTTCCTCACGCATCACGAAGACCTCAACAACTGCATCGAATATCCACGTGCTCGACGGGTCAAATGTCGTCAGTTTTGTTACACGGGGCGGAAGTAGCTAAGAGGTTGCACTGTCAAACCGTCGTCCCCTAATTCCAACTCACTTGCATTTTTGGCATGATGTGTCTTGTCATGCTGCGATGAATCCGTATTTTAAGGAAATGGGGGAAATAGAGAACACGGAATAAAATACACTCAGATGGGGCTTTGAGGCACATGTGGGATAGATTGCAGGGACGTGCACCTTATACAAAAAATTGTCGCAGTGGCCAAAGGTTAAACTGGCGTGCTAAGTAGGAAAATGTGTGCCACATTTGGCTTTTTTGCTCAGTCTAAAATATTGACATTAGCGTGATTTTAATATCACGCTATTTTAGCTTTGAAAATGGTGATTATTGATATGTACCAAACTTTATAAGAAGAAATTAAGCTTAGGTTAGACCAGTGGAACTTAAAAGCTCTCTAGAATTAGAGATAACTTGAAAAAATTCTAGCCCAATACAAAATTACAAATTTTCTGCAAAAACTTTGTGCGTATCAAACGCCGTACAGTAAAACATTTGTTATACCAAAATCAACATTCAATCAACATTTTTAAAGAGAGTGAAATGAATTTACGAAAGATGTAGATGATGTAGATATAGATTTGTGTCAACAATATGGCATTGTTATCAAAAAATTGTAATTATTAGTAACTGCTAGTGGTCCGTTTAACTCACACACCTTGAGCATAATTATTATTTCTTGTACAGGTGTGTCAGAACTCGCACCCCAGAGAAAAGTGTCAAGTAAGATAAGACACCAGGAAAATTTTGATATTTATTGTTTGACATTTGACATTTTTTATGTCTATTTAATGATACTAATGATCTTGTATACAGGGTGCGCTAGAACTCGCGCCCCAAAGAAAATTTTCAAGTAAGGTAAGATACCGGGAACATGAAAAAAATGTTTAAAAAATTCTATCAAAAAATTTTGACATTTATTTTTTGACATTTGACATTTTTTTATATCTATTTAAGGATACTGATGATCTTGTATATGCTTTTTTACAATTATTTAGTAAAGGGACAAAAATATTACCAATAAAAGCCTCAAATAACATTGAACAGAGTTACAATTTAGGATACAGCTTTCTTGTTTCCTCTTTTAATAGCCTATAGCAAAAAAACTTGGAAAATTATTTTTCCATAGAAATAAATAGAGTAAAAGTGCAAACTTTAAACACTCATAACGCTCATACATAAAAAATTTTTAACATTTTTTTCATGTTCCTGGTATCTTACCATTTTTCTCTGTATACAGCCTGTATACAGGGTGCGCCAGAACTCGCGCCCTAAAGAAAAATTTCAAATAAGATATTCTCTTTTTCATATTAATGTGCATCAAGTAGGTTGTGGAAGTCCGAATGCATTTTTAATTAAATAAAGCCCGATTCACACAAAGAGTGTTATTAATGTCATTCAGAACAAATCTAATCACATCAATGATGACAAAAATCTTTATGTTTACTGCCCCATGTTAATTACGTTGTTTATTTTAATTATTTTGTGCTACCTGGGGTACACATTTATTTGGAAAAATAATTTTTAGGGAAGATTGAGTTTAGGATTATTTGAATTTTCGCATGGTTGCCACCTTAAAATGATCCACGACATGTACTTTGATGTACATTAATATGAAAACGAGTATAAGATACCAGGAACATGGAAAAAATATTTAAAAAATTCTATCTGTCAAAAAATTTTGACATTTATTTATTGACATTTGACATTTTTTTACTGATGATCTTGTATATGTTTTTTTACAATTATTTTTAGTAAAGCTACAAAAATTTTGCCAATAAAAGCCACAAATAAAAAACAAACAAAGTTACAATTTAGGATACTAATAGCCTGTACCAAGAAAACTTGAAAAATTATTTTTCCAACAAAAATTAATAGAGTCAAAGTGCAAAATTTTTTTAACATTTTTTCCATGTTCCTGTTATTTTACCTTACGAGTATATGGATTTTTTCTCTAGGGCGCGAGTTCTGGCGCACCCTGTATATCCCAGTAATATTCAAGTTTGCAAAGTCAAAACTTCTCGTTCTTCTTTCTATTTTACCAAACGCGCTTGCAAAAGCTCAATATTTTTAATTATTTCAAACTTAATGTTATAGTAGCCAAAATCCATTTGAATAGGATAACATTGAAAAAAATGTGATCGTATTTTGAAAACGAAATTTTGTTTTGTTTTTGAGATATGCGATTTTTTTGTCAAAATTGCAATTTATGTTTTTTTTTTTAATTAAATATAAAGTAGATAGTTGTGATCCTTAGATCATAATCTTCATGAGAAAAGTGGTTTTATAGTGGGTTGCCAATTAAAAAATTAAAAAATTTGTAAAACTCAAAAACAAAAGAAAATTTTGAAAAAATTTATTCTTGATAAAACATCACATTACTTTACTTTATCATTCATTAATTAGTTTTTCCAAAAAAAAACCGAAACA